AATTTTAATAATATTAATTTATGCTTTATACCGGGTGTTCAAATTAAAGTGTTACAGCTAAATACCGCCTATTATAAAAAAAACGTTTCAGACGAAAGTTTTATAGTTTTGTGGGGAAAAATTATTGCTAAAATCGTTTTTTTCAGCTAACCATAATATGGCCAACTTTTTTTTCGCCTACCAAAATTTTTAAGTAGCTGTTACTCAAAAAGTGAAAGTCGAATAAGAAAATTATTTCTATCTAAAGTTTCTTATTTTTTTATGTACTTTAAGAATATTTACAAAAAAAATGGGGTTCCCATTTAAAAAACAAAGTCTACCTCGATATGGCCATATTATGATCAGCTATAAAAAAAAATTTTAGCCAAAATGTTTCCCCCAAAAAACTATAAAACTTTCGCCTGAAACTTTTTTTTTCTAAAATGCATATTTTCGGCGGTATTTAACTATAACACTTTAATTTGTACACCCGGTATTCTTTTAATTATTATTATTATAATGTTTTTTACATTGGAAATTTATTGTATTTTGCAAAGCAATAGCCTTACTGTTAATAATCGATACTTATATATACTGCGTCTATACCTTCAATAAATAGTTCATATTTTCTTATTTTTTATTTTCCTCAAAAAAAATACAAAAATAAATCATAGCGTATAAATCAATAATCCCTGAATAAAATAATATGAGAGAGTCAAACTGATTGCATACATTTTAGCACTGAGAGAGAAGAAAAAGAGTCGAGAGCTTTACCTTCAATGTTTGCTTTCTAGTTAAACCATAACTAATTGTTTATTGCTATATTTTTGTTAATATAAAAGCAAAAAATATGGGGAAAGCACTGTTACTTTGATAATACATAGGCGAAACTTTTATGAAGAATAGTTTTTTCTCATTTAGGCCTTTGTTTTTCGTCAAATGAGAGGTATATTTCTAAAAAAAGATTTTTTATACAAATTTGTGGACGGTTGAAACCGAGATATTGACGTTTAAATTTTTTTTCGACCATAAGGGCTAATGCAAATGATTTTTTTTAAATAATTATAAAAAACACTTCCTACAAAGACCTAATTGTGCATTAGAACAAAAAAATAAGCATTTTTTTTTCTATATGGTGGTATCAATAACTCGATTTTTTATGATAGTGCCCTTTTGCACTGTCTAATTTTGTATTACCTCCGGAATAAGGGTAAGCTTATCATGTACTTTCATCCCTGAAAAATTCAGCTCGTGACACCGAAGTGGGAGGCAAAGTCAAAAAAATTTTAATCTATACCATATAAAAGCCCGTACCTGTGAGTTTAGAAGAATACATTTTTATTCGTAGATGCGAAAATGGAGAACGTATATTTGTTACTTAGTTGCTAACTAGAGGCAGCACCTCTCGGATAACTTTATTTTGTCTCTCTCTGGGAGGACTTGTTCAGACTTCTCTGTTCCAATGCACGCCCTTAAATCGACTTATTTTGGTCTAAGGAATATGTGGTATGTTTTTGTAAAATGACACCCTGTATACAAAATATTTATTGATAAAACAAGGAAATAAAAAACGGTATTTTGTCCCCAAAATTTAATTATTTTTTGATTTTAACAAAATTGAAAAATAGAATTGAAAGGAAATAATGTACAAATTAAGGTATTATGAAACTGCTGTTTTAATGAAATAAATTTACAAATACAAAACATGATTTAAATTATGAAAGCTTTGGTTTCTGCAACCGGATGGTTTAGGATTGTCAAAAATATTAGTTATCTCAATATGAATTTCTCCTAAATTCTTTGATTCTTAAAATTGGAGATGTGCGAAGTCTGGATCTTGGTATTCGTTATCGAATAATGTGTCGTCATTCGGACAATAAAAGTACGTTTCTAACGGTGCTCCGAATCCATTACTTTGGGAACAAAACTTATCCATTCGAGTTGTACACTGGATGCTTTTATAACGACTAATTTGATTTATCGTTTTCATAAAAATATTTCACTCAAATCCACTCAGGTTTTTTTCTTTCACGAATCAGTGAATTACACTCATCCAGTTTAATTGGTAATTATAACATAGCGACATTTTCTTGAAAAATAAACTGTATTTCAAAACTGTAATCGACCGACGCCGACAGTATTGGGTTAATTTCTTATTCTTGGCTCAATTTACGATATTGATTGTTTTTTCTTCTATGTACTAATTTATACCGTGTCGGCCAATTATTTAATATGGGGTAAATATAAATATTTTCTCTAAACTCGATAAAAAACGAAAACAAGAAATTATTTAAATATTTTTCTTGATAAGTATAAGGTTGCAAATTCCATATAGCTTATGAATTTTTTTCCCCTAGACACTTTTCTATTAATTTCGCAATGCAAAATTAGTCATAGACACTTTACAACCTTTGCATTAATCTTGGAGCGTAGCAAATTTGCATTTATTTATGGGAAGGTATTTAAATCGTTCTGTAAAATTTGCAATACAATTCAATTTTTTTGGCAACTGCAAAATGTGCTAGTTGTTGATTTTTGTTAACTTTTCAAGGTTCCGGACCTTGTCTGAGTTTGCAAATTTATCAGATTGTTAAGAAAAATAATATTAACATTTGCAACCAATTACTGAGGCTCTTCTTATGGGGCCTCAGTATTGCATTCGTGAAGACAAAACATTTTCTTACCCCCATTTTTAAAACTTTTTTTCATGTTTCCGATCTTTCTGAGTCCGAAAATTCAAAAAAAAATGTCGTCTGGTCGTCTGTGTGTATGTATGTCGGCACGATAACTCTAGAATGAAAGTTCTGATTGACTTGCGATTTTGATTTTCTTGAATAATTACTTCTAACTTAGAACCCTATTGATTTTCAGAATTTACGGTTCATCCTAACTACTTTAATATCAATTTTCTTGAAATCCCCTATGCATTTCTTATGTGACAATTTTAGAAATTCCAATTATTTTTAACGTCAACATTCCTAATATTCTTAACATTCCATAAATTGCAAACATTCTCTAACGACGTGTCAAACAGCAGCTGTTGATAGTAGAGGTGAAATTTCTAAGGCGGGTTGCGTCCTTCATACTTGCAACCATAGCCATTTTGGAGGCTATTTTTATTCGAAATTAGTCGCCAATCCTGCCAATTTATGAATAATATATAAGCAGTTTCTTAAAGATGATTTTATATTAAATTATTATTATTATTATTATTATTAATTTTTTTTTATATTGGTGCTAACTTAAGCATACTACTATTTTACCCTTAGCCACCTTCATCAAATTTACTGGATGTCGCAACCCCATAGAATAATTAACTGGCCATTTTATTTGGCAAAAATCAGAATAATGCTTGGCTGTGCCTGTCAAGTATCAAGATGTCAACTGTGATGTGTAAATGGCTCTTAAATGTCAAATTCTTTTAATATTTTTTGCAAATAATTTGTAGTCTAACTCAATTAAGGCTTTCCATAAATAAAGGTACAGCAAGACAGATAATAATGTTCTTATACAAAGCATTTTTTTATTATATAAAAGAGAGGTAGGATATAATGCTGGTTTTTTGTAGATAATTTTAATGATAGAATTTTTTGATTACATATTCAACCAGCGAATTGAAAATTACAATTAGTAAACTCCTACTCATAAATTTCCTCAATTCACAAAATTTAAAAATGAATCTTCTTACCTTGGGATTTTAATAACGTAATGTGATCAACCCATTTCAAATTTTGATCAATTATGATACCGAGGTATTTTGTTGTGTTTTTCATTTTAATTATAGAGTTGTCATTTATTAGTACGTTGAAAGAAGGCCTTTGTAAATTACATTGCTCTCTACTTTAACACAAAAATAGTTTTGTGGCTATAAGTTGCTATAACCTATCGTCGCAAAACTATTAATAATTTAAACATAGTAAGTAGTAATAATATAACATTAAAATAAAGAACATGATCTCAAAATAGAACTAATTTTTAATAAATGCGGGTAAAACTAGGGGTAAAATAACAATAAATTAAGGGAAATACTTAAAAAGGGCAGGTTTAAAGAGTATTATCACAAGAAAGTATATCCGTTCTGTTTATTTATTAAGTATTGTTTGAAATTTCTTTCAAATACATTTATTGTTGTTTTTTTTTTTTTAATTTCTGTAGACAGTCTATTAAATTTTTTAAACCTTTAATAAAAATTGTATTTTGGGAACTTTTAGTGATGGCTTGCCATACATGAAAGTCAGATTGACTTCTTGTATTGCGAATTATATTGAATTTTTTCTAAAAGATCTGATGCGATGGTACTATGTCATTTTTATTTTATAAATAAATATCAGTCATGTACTGAACATAATTCTGAACTGAAAGCCAATTTATTTCTTTTAACATAGTTGCAATACTATACTCATCTTTCTGTCCTATTAATAGAATATAAATAGGTGAAGTAAGGAGCCCAAATATTTTACATGAGCAGGCTTAAGAGGTAAAGGGGCCAATTATTATTGGATAAATTGTTGGAACAAGTTTTTAAACCCTAATCAAAAGGCGATATAGAATGGTTTTAAAAATTAAGTCTTGTGAAAATCATCACATGGTTTAACCTAAGTAATGCCAATGCTTTACAAACCAAAAAATTTAACGTCCTAATACTACTATAGGCTTCCGGTCTTTCGTTCCAAGTTAAATCATTTCTTGTTTTTGTTACGCTACGAGTTTATCCATGTGGGCCTCAGTCTCGATAAGGTGAAAACCACAATTTTAGCGTCTCTCGAATTTTTTTAACAAAATTAGAGGAAAATAAAAAATTATTTTGATAATTTTACAAAAAAAAAAATATTTTCGTCCAAAATAAAAGGTTGCAAATTTAGATATCTATTCCAAAAACTTGCATGAGTTACGTCATCGGTTTGCAGCACTTTTGCAATTTTGTGTCTATGATATAAACAAAAACGCTATTTTACAAAAAAAAAATCATGTTCAAGACTTTCAAAAAAGTTGCAAATCTGATATAATGTTGAAAATAATACAATATATGAGGGGTATAATTTCAAAGTGTGCAATCTCCATGTTTGGCAAATTTTCAGAAAACGGAAAAAATTAATAACTTAATAAAAAAGCGGTTTTTCTCCGTACTAATTTTTTTAACCTACTTATATTATTATGCAAAGGTCATTTACCCGTTTTTTTTCTTAAAATGACAAAAAAAGGAAGATATTTGAAAAAACTGTTGAAGATTGTGTAGTATGAAGCTAACCATTGGAGATTGCTCGATTTGAAAATAACTTCAAGGTATTAGATGTTTTATTTATTCTTTTTTATTTAGTTTAACACTTAAAAAGTAGGTAAGAAATTATTCTAAATAGCAATAATCAAAAACATCACAAAGTATGGAAATATTTTAAAAATAAAAAAATATTTCAAAAATGGTTGAATTAAACTGCAACGTTGATTTCTTCTTCTACAACATGTTCGCATAATGGGACTTCCTCAACAGCATTATCTGGTATTGCATCCCCCTCTAAGGCAAATTTGTAAAAAAATAAAACGGAATCATTTTTCCACTCTTCTCCATAATGAGCAACTAGTAGGTTATTTACATCAGTTTTCTTAAGGGTGCTGAGAACATTCCACATTGGAATTTTGGTGGGATTTATATTGCTAAGGTTCTTTTTTTTTGTAACAGGTTTTCCCATTCCATTGTTCGTATTATACGCGCTTTCACCACAAACCAACACTGCGCCTTTTAAGTTTTTTGTAATAATCATCCTTTTCATTTTGGCAAAAGCAAAGTGCCACTGTCCTAAAGGCTTAATAAACTTGCTCGTTTTAGTTTTCCAGTCGTTAATTTGAACATCCTTTCCAAGTTTCAGGACAGTCCCATATTTTGAAAAAATATTTTAATATTCCTGGGGTTCTAAAATAATTTCCTTCTTCTTGCACTCCTTTTCAATGTTACCAAAGACCCGATCAAGAGGAATAAAAGAGTGTCCTCTGACTGGGAATACAACTTCAATCTTTAAATTTATTGCATCTTGTTTGCCAAGCCAGTTGCTACACATTGTAATTAGTGTAGTGGTTTTGTTCTGGCCCGCGCAACCATCACACATGAGCTTAATAGCACAGCTTATACAATACAGCTAAAACACTCTCTTGGCGGCAACGGTTTGCGTCGATTTCGTCGCGCATCGCTTAAGCTCCGCCTTCGAAGGGAAAAGACGGTTTTGGCGTTCAGAAGCGTACTTAGGTAAGGTGTTGAGTCGTGCGTATAATTTCGTTGATTGTATAATTTCGTGGAGCCTATAATTTCGTTAATTTTGTTTAAGTCAAAGGTACTGTTATTATTTTGGTGACTCTTTAGCTGTGAGTAGAATGAGTGAAAAAAAAAGACATCATTCTGTTTGTGCAGTCAAAAGCTGTTTTAATAAGGGTTATACCTGCAAGAAAACATTCTTTAGTTTTCCCAAGGACCCAAACCGATAAGTACCACATTATAAGAAATTTTCATTGTTAAAAATATAATTTATACAGGGTATCCCATTAGTGCGTTATTGTTCATTATTTTGTTGTAGACACGGAAGAAAGTTTTAAATAAAAGTTATATGGATTTGAAAAATATCTACATATTTTAAAAATATCTTTGGATATACAGGGTGTCACGTTTTTGCCTGGCAAATTAAAATGTACGTTTTTTAAATGGAACACCTTGTATTTTATTTTATGATAAAATTATTAACACCCTAAATTATTGTAAAGACGAATTGATACAGAAAAATTTTATCAGGTATGTGTGTGGTTACCTTTTAATAAAAGCCTTGCGGATCCACTCCTCTGCGATACCTGTCTTAAATATAACAAAGATCACGTCGAATTAGATGATTTTTCTTTTTATTGCTTTTTAAAGGCATATGATAACGCCAATCCAGATACATTTGGAAATCTGTAACTGTCAAATGATGGATTTGTAGAACTAATATTCAATATTGAAAAGATATTTCAAAATAATTTTGAAGAATTGGCTACAAAAAAAAACATTTGTACCACACTTTTAGAATTAATTAACCCAATACCCTTTAGTCATCCATACTAACGTTTTCCAAAAGAATAACTTATTTTATTGTATGTTTAATCTCAATAACTGAAAAATATACTGACAATTAGTTTGACAGAATTGTCATTTATTTAAAATTTTAAAAATAATAGCAGTCGGTTGATTAAAATATGAACGGTGATTGGCGAATTTATTTTTTTTGCAGTGTTCTCACTACCTAGAATGGATATGAAATATATTCGTTCAATTGAAGGCAATAACATACTTTTTCGTTTTGTAATCTGTGCATGGATATTAGCCAATCTACGCACATACTACAAAACGAAAAAGTATGCTATTGCGTTCAACTACGAATATATTTCATATCCATTTTAGGTAGTGAGAACACTTTAACAAAATTAAATCTACAAATCACAGTTCATATTTTGGTCACCCAACTCCTATTATTTAAAATTTTTTAAATAAGTGACAATTCTGTTAAACTAATTGTCAATATATATTTTAGTTATTGATATTAAATATACATTAAAATTTTTGTGTAGACTCGATAAATAATAGCATTTTTGTTTTTATTGTGTCCACATTTACAAAAAAAAAAATTTTAATCAAACTACATGATACTAATTTAATTACGAGTATTACAACTAAAGTCCTGAAAGTTTCGGTGAAGATGAAGACAGAGCATCTGCCTTCCACGCGAAAAGCCCGGAATCGAATCTAGGCCGAGGACTAATTAATTTTTCATGTTTATTTTATTTTATAAATTAGTCAACTTCGTAAATTATTTTAAAATTAGTTATTTTGTCTAAATAACCTAAAATATTTTTTAAATTTGTAGATTTTCGTTAGTGGGTCGTAGAAAAAATATACTGACCATATCGAGTGGATTGTTCATATCACAATCAGACGATTGAGTACTCTGCCTACGACGTCGTGCTCAAACTTCGTCTTTGTGTGATATTGCTATCATATCCACCCTTGTTGAACAAACTATAATTTATTTGTTTTCTTGGGTTAAACCAAAACTTAAGTTTTACATCAGAAATAGGAACTAAATTAATTTACTTTTCAAGTTTTCTTGTAAAAATCGATATTACTTTCTCCAAGTACAAATTTAGTACCTACCTAAAATAAGTACTAATTATGTAATATCGTGTAATATTGTAATTCAAATTTCACATTACTATAAAGTTTCAAAATTCCCTACTTCGGTATGGTCAGATAAAAATTAAATATATTATATTAATAAAAACTGTCAAAGTATTACTTCTACAAATCTGTATTTCAATTAATAAGAATACATCTAAATATAACCAATATTGTTAAAATAAAAGCACAAATTCTTTATAATTCCAAAATACCATAGAGTTCCCAGACCTCAGTCGAAGCATTCGTTTATCTAGGTATAAACCCTTTGCGCGAAGAGTAACACTTGCCAGAGACACGGGGTACCACTTGATTTGCATCCACCAGCATGACACAATTCTTTAACAATTGAAGCCCTTGGTGTAAAAAGGATCCAAACCACAATTTGTCGTGAAGTGACTGTTTTAGCTCAAAACATTTGTTAACCAGGATTTTACTAGCCACATACAAATTATTTTACCTCTAATCCGAAAGATGTGCTATTTTTCGTAATATTTATATTTAAATAATGTTTCTAATTATATTTGACAGATTTAAAACAAATTAAAAATTTAATTTTCCAAAACTTACTTAATATGGCATGTAACCAACCTTATTACGCCAAGGTTTTCAATTTTTCAATAATAAAAAAATTGTTTAATCCGGGCCCGACTTTTCCCTCGAATCTAACAGAGATAGCACCATTCCGTCTTGCTTGGTTCTCGACCGCCAGATCAAAGACGCCGACACGGAGTTGTGGAGCTGTATTGTATAAGCTGTGTTAATAGTATGAATATCAGTAAAATCCGACGATTCCAAAACATGGTAGATATAGGAAGCAATCTCATTTGAGCCTTTGTTGTATTCATTTTCAGTCCAATAAAAAGAGGTTACTGTAATGGGATTTAATTGGCTTCTAGAAGTGCCTCTCACAACAGTAAAGTTAAACATGTAAATTTGTCTGGAATAGTAAGCTTGCTAATCAGGAACTTTTGGCAGAACCTGATTTTTTGACAATCGAAGGAAAAAATCATGACACCTTCCTCAGATACCCTTAAAATATTACAAAATGCTTGTGCCCTCATTTTATGTACCCTTTTCTCCGTCAATAGGCTGGCCTTGTTATCCTGATCCTTGCAACTTATAATTTTTTCGGTCAACTGCAAGCATGTTGAGCAAACGTCAGTCCTAGGTATGCCAAAAACTAGGTTATAGTTGGTCTAAAATAACTCTCTTTTACTGGAATTTTGACGTTTTCCTTTATGTACATTTTCCACATCATTTTGATGTTCAAAGAGGAGTCAAGATATAAGCGTTAGCTTTGTCCTCGGCAGTAGTAGGACTCAATTGCCTTAAATTTGTTTATAAAATTCATAACTGTATCTTTCTTTACCCTGTTGCTTTCCAATTTTCTGTCGCCTCCACGATTTTCCTTTGCTGGTAGAGAGGTATTAAAAAAGTTTCTAGTGACAGTGTCAATTCTTCTTCTAGTTATGCACAAAACTTCCTGGAAAGCTTGTTTGCAAACAGGCAAAACTCGCTTTTGCTGAGTGAGGATGTAAAATTGGGCTTGGAACAATTTTTCGGTATGTCGAGAATTTTTTGGTCGTTTACGCTTTACAGGAACGGTTTTAGAATATTTCAAAATAAAATTGTTCTGGAATATTTTTTCTTTCATTTCGTAAAACTTTCTGTAAAACTCTTTTATTTCAGACATAGTAAGGGAGGTCCACTGAAATGCAGATGTTTTGTGTCCACAAGTTGGGTAAACTGGAAGCAAATGCGGATACCTGAAAAAAATAAGTACTCATTAGTGTAGAAACTCTTTTAACATCTACCGTAGTTTTTTCTGCTTGCTTCTCTTCCATTCTTCTGTTTTTCGTTTTCTTTTTCTGGTTTTATTATTGGTTATGGGAGTTATATTAATTTTCATTATTTTTGTATTAAATTTCACACGAAGTACACAGATACGTCGATTTCAGCTGACTATGATAAACAGCGTGCGTACGGCTAGATTAACTTGATACAACTGAGAATAATTTCGTGGTCACTCATAGGTACAAAGCACATGGTATTGGTTTTTTTAACGCAAATCACGATAAGCTAAGTCGTAAAAGTATTGGAGATTGTACACTTTGACACAAGAAATCCATTTGGGATATTGTACACTTTGAATCTTATTCGTCAAAGGAGATTGTACCATAGATATATAACCAAGACAGATAGGATTATTTACAAAATTTTTGAAGAATGAACGGTGGTGTCTGCGGTAGAAACCCAATAATCGGATTGAACATTGATGCCAAGTTTACGTGCTTATAACTATAGATATATATAACCAATACAGATTACACAATTTCTGAAGTCAACGCGGATGATCCTCGACAGAAATGCAATATTTGGATAAAATTCAAATATTGATGCCAAGTTTGCGATGTTTTTAACTGTAGTAATGTTATTGCGTTTGCTTGAATTACTGTTAGGTCTTTAAATTGTCCAAAAAAAAATAACGTCTGACAACAGCGGAAGTAGAGTAGACCGCAATTGTGGAGGGTCGTATATTGTTTCATTCATATAAATTCCTTCGATACAGTACTAGTTCAGGAGCCAGTAAATTTTTTTCGTACTTGTTTTCCCAGTCCGTGTATATTTAAATAATCTATTCCCGGTGAACTGTATATTTAAAATGGAACGCCAATCTATTAACAAAAGTAAGCCAGATTGAATTCGCGCATTACGTCACATCGATACAAGTGAGATTGTTTACAAAGTGCCTTTGCAGGCCTATTTTGCCCATTTCATGTATTTGTTTTTAAATCATGTTAAATTACTATTTTTGAAACTCAACAAAAAGAAAATCCAATTAACTCTTCCGTTGTGTATATATATAAGATAAATTAACTGAAGTTTTATTAGTAAAGTATTAACACTAAAATTTTAATGTAGTTTACAGAAAATAGCTAGATATGTATTTGTTTTTAAATAATTTGATAATTTATGAAAAAAGGGAGTAAAAGTGGAATGACCAGTGGCCAGTAGGTCAGTCAATACAAAGTATCATATATTTCTATTATAACATAACTAAAATACCTACATCTTTTAATCATAAGGACATAAGTTAAAAACCATTTTAATATATGCATTAGGATGAAGTAATAATAACTTAAAGAGACGAGGTCTTAAAGTAATAGCTGGTACAGCATGTTTTTTAAACGTTTCCTCATTGCTGCTAGAATGAAATCACTTACTATAAAATGTGCTCTAAAAACGGCATTTATAGCAGTCAGTGTTCAGTCTTAGGATCTCTTCCTAAAGCCCTCATCCAAGCTGCATACATATTAAAAAATAATTAAAAAAAAAATATATTATATACCTATATAGTTTTCGATTCTGGGTGCCCTAAAAGAGGACACTTAGCCGACAATTTGGCTCAGATAGCTAAAACCCAAAAGTCACACCCCGAACCAGGACGTATTGCTATCCTTTTAAGTAAAAAATAACTACAAATAACTTACCTGAAAAATGAAGGCGTCTAACTTTACACCAAAAAAACCATACACTTTTTCCCATTGTTGCAAGCACCCGATTACGATTAGGTAGATATCAACTAGAAGCATGTACTTAATGGTTATAAAGCTTATTTTAACACAAAAAGAATAAAGCACTAGTCGAAAAGCAGCAATCAAATATAAATAGACCACAATATTAAAATTAAAAACTATATAAAAGACAAATACTCTAAAAGCGCAAAAGATCAGAACCAAATAAAATGAATAACCATAATAACCTAAAAATCACACTAAAATTGCAAAAACTATTACTGTAAAATCATGAGATTACATCAATAATGCATATGCGTCGGAGTATCGCAAATGTCAAAAGTACAGTGTTTCCATGAAAATTTAGCTATGTTTTTAGCAGTATTATAGGACCATTTCTACCACGCGCATCCAACGATATTGGCGTTCCACAGTTCACTGTATTTTCCTCACACCTCTAGTATAAATGATTTGACATAACGAAACTAACAATAATTATAATTAATGTAGAGTAATAAGTGATTCGTGAATTCTAAATAAAACAATTATTATATAAAAGTGTAAAAGGAAATGTTATTTATTTCCCTATTTTCTTCTGCAATATCTTCAATTATTATGTTTAATTTCTATAAATAAACCAACTGGTTAGGTGAAACATTGTGATATAACATTTTATTTATGTGTCTTAGGCGTACACTTTAATATACAAAACACCTGGAACATTCTTTAAATAATTGTGGTCGTAGAAATAATTGTGTACATAACTCGTTTGAAAGTGTATTTTTTGCACTTGCCAAATATATTATCCATACAGATTAATCAGACTATTTTTTTACTTAACTTCAGTATATCTCTTACTACTAAAACTATTTTTATCAATGGAAAAAAAGGGCCGTGTTCCCGTATGTTTTGACGCATTTTCGGCCTCAGCCCATCGGATCCCCCCTCTAAATATATATGAATTTTGCTTAGAATTGCTAATCCTACAATTCTCTATTCGTGCTTGCTGACTGGGAAAATAAATACCTAAAATCGTCACTGTCTCCTGGACTATACAATACATGATGATGAGAACTTCACAACAAATACACTTTTATGAATGGCTAGTTGGGGATGTGGATTGTACGTTTTGAAACTAAATGTAATTTTCAAGCCTAAAAATACACTTGAGTTTGACCATTTTGCTAAGAACTAGTGAGTTATTTGAATTCAGCGCTAAAAATTGCATACAAAACGACATCTAGCTCATTTTCTATAAAACAAGGAGATTGTCCACTTTGATATTACATCCCTCATATATTGCTTTAAGTTTGCAGCACTTTTGCAAATTTTTCTCAACATTATAAACAAGCCATTTTGGTATAAATTAACTAGTTCCGGACCTTGGAAATGGTTGCATATTTAAACTAGCCGATTATTATTGCAAAGTTCGAAAACTTTTGTAATTAATGTGAAATGTTCAAAATAGGATGTCTTTAATGACTTGCCTAATGATTGATCACCAAGTAAATTGTTTTAACCATTTCTTCAAATTATTTCAAGGGGTTAATTATAGAAAACCAATAGTTCTGGGACGAACTTCAAAATTGAAAAAAAAAATAATTATTCATCAGGAAGGCACAATTAAGATCCAAAAACGTTTAAAATTATGTATTGAAATGGAAATTTTCGTATGACGTCATAAAATTTGGGATGGGATATAGAAAATTTTAGAATATATAATAGTTGGGAGTTTTTTAAAAAGAATTTTTGATTTTTTTATTATTGATTGTCAGATAGGATTAGAAATGTCAGAGAGAACTTATGTAAAAATATGGAATGTTGAATGAAAATAAAATCTAAATACTAGAATTGATGTTGAATATGTAAATAAAGTAGAAAAGATAAAACAAGGTAAAGTTTCATTTATACAATCATATATCAGAAGAAAATTTGGAAATTACAATATTGAGATGGGATATAGAAAATGTTAGAATATATAATAGTTGGGAGGGATGTTTTTGTTTTTTTAAAAAGTATTTTTGATTTTTTTATTATTGATTGAGAGGATTAGAAATGTCAGAGAGAACTTATGTAAAAATATGGGATGTTGAATGAAAATAAGATCTAAATACTAGAATTGATGTTGAATATGTAAATAAAAGAGAAAAGATAAAACAAGGTAAAGTTTCATTTATACAATCATATATCAGAGGAAAAGCAGAAGTCAGTAGAGGTAGCAGGTAGCAGTAGAGATATTAAGGCATACAGGTAGGTGCCTGTAAACGTAATGATCACACGACTTCAAAAAAAAATTGAACTAGAAAATGTTATTATAAAATAACAAAAAAAAATTGCGGATTACGCATAAATAACAGTGAAATTTGAGTTAAAACTTGCAAATTTTGGTGATTTTAACCTAAGATTTTTCGATTTTCGTGTAAAGCATAAGCAAGCTTGCCAAACATTTCAATTAATAACAAAATCTAGATTAATAGTTGACAGAATCGATTAGGTACTTTGATAAATCGAATTATTGGAAATATATAGTTTTCTTAATAATCCATTTTTTTTTATACCTACATTTTAGGCATTAGGAAAAATTGTTGTGTCCGTATTGTTTACAGTCACCTACAGGTAGAGATACGGAGACAAGCAAGGACAATTAAAGACAGACAAAGACGTGGAAAGGAGGACAAGCAGCGGGAGTACAAAGCAGCAGAGGACAAAAGCAGCGACAGGACAAAAATAACAGCAGTAACAGGACGAACCCAGCAGCAGGACAAAGCAGTATTAAAAGAAGAAAAAGAATATTTTTTTATTTTGTTACTAAATTTATAATATTTTTAGATTTGTTTGAACCCACCCTAATATTGAGATTTTGTTGATTGGAACCAGAGATATCATAAGGAGATTTCCATATCAGTATATACCTTTGACTACCCCCTCAAATAGTTTAAAAGATCCCAAAGGGGGTCAAAATTCAAAGAAATAATTTCACAATCTAATTTCGACTTCGAAAAAATGGTCAATCCACATAAGGGCACAATAGAGGTATAATAATAGTAAAATATCGGCAAAACAATGAACCTCATAATGAAGGCATGAAAGTAAATGTGAAATAAATGAAACTTATAAGGAGTGTATCAGCTCTATTGCAAATACATAATTATTTTGATGTATGCTGGTTAAACTTTTGATACGCGGAAACTATCCTAAATGCCTTTGTTGATTTTTTTGTACGCTTAGTGTAAATGAGATAGTTGTTG